AAGAAAAGAAAATTAACAAAGTAACACTGAAACCAAAAGGTTTGCATTGATGGAGAGATTCTCATCTGACAAACCAAGTGATTCACTATGAGAGCAGTGAGGCATCTCTCCTTAAAGTCTAAAATGTCTTTAGTCTGTGTTGGAACAAATTTTGATGAAATAACTGCAATCTATTAACGCAATAATCTTACCTGAAATGTGTAGAAGTAGGATCACTGATGCGATTCTGAAGTCCATGCTTTAACTTTCAAAATAATTCACTTCTTTGTCTAGAGTAAAACAACAAGAACGTAGTGAGGCAAGCACTCATTAATTTCAAGCCATTTATCACAATAGCTCCTACATTAACTGCATTTGTTTCAAGTTAAAACATGGGTAAAGAGATGTGGTGTCAATGTCTGAAGTTTAGCAGGCAATCAGATGATCTTATTTCCTTCCTTTTTCTCCAGTCTTTTACCCACTTGTTGTTGGGCAACTGCAGTTAACCACTCACTTCTTGAGCATCTCTATGTTTGGAACTTACCAGTTAATTTTAAGATTTAAAATGTCCCAATCAGTTGAGTTAATGACAAATAAGGTTAAATCTTGTTTATAACATGTTTCAAATGTACAGAAATGTGTTTGTTGATTTCATATGGTTTTGGAAAAACCTTTACATAATTTTCAACAAAAGTAAAATTAAACTCTAAAATGTGATCTGTGACCATCAAAAAACTAAAAATATATATTTTCTTTACACCCTGAATATGAGTGAGTGAACATCTTAATCATTATCTTCAAAAATGTTTTTAAATGTTTTAATGTATTTTTTCATTAATTATTGTGAGTTAATTTATAAATATATTTACAATTGGCACCACATGCTATTTTAAAGAAATAGCAGTAAAAGATATAGCAAAGCTACTTCAGACATTTTAATTAGGCTTTTTTCCCCCCATTTTAATATTAAAATTATTAATAACATTCAGAAAAACAGTTAATTTGATTGTCCACAATATGATGGATATGTGTGTAATCTTTGGCCAAAAGTATTAAAGAAACCTGACTACACCAACTAGGTTATTTCTCCACCCAGGAAAAACAATGGTGCTGTTTCTGGGGCCCTGTATTTTGCGTATAGCGAGGATCGGCTCTGAGTAACACAACGCATATGCGTGATTTCCTCTGCTCGTAAACAAGGCGCAGCGCACTTGTACGTCAGCAGCATCGTAGTGTTACTCTCGGTAACGGCGGTAGATGGTAACTCGGGGGAGAGGAATTGTTGAATAAAGTCGTTGTTTTTGTTTTTTTGCGCACAAAAAGTATTATCATAGTGTCATAAAATTACGGTTGAACCACTGAAGTCATATGGAATGTTTTGACGATGTTTTTGGTACCTTTCACTTGGAGCTGTAAATCTGTGCAATATAGGTAGGCTACATGAGGTGAGAAGTAATGACTATAATAACCACTAAAAATCTAAAAGGGATGTTCAGTAAAGTAAATAGTTATATTTTACAGTAATTGCGAGGATCGAGCCACAAAACCAGTAATTTAATTTGTGCATAAATAGCCTACATATAAAAGTATAAATAAAAATATACAGCAGAGAAGTGATATGAATATTTATTGCTTAAGTACACACTTAAGCACATTAATAATAATATTTGCTGTACATCAGATTTAATAACAGCTGTTTTAGTAAACAAAAACATTCCAAATATATGCAAAGATATAATGATTCAGCATTGCAAGGTTTTTATTCCCATTATCCACTCATAAAACCCCAGTTCACGCTGATGGTCAGGGCTATTTGGTATTGTCTTATTTGTCTCTGCGGTTGTGCTTTAAAATAAAATTAAGACACAATTGCGGGTTTGTCCAATGTCTTACTGAACTACAGTAATTTATCATCATATTATCATCATCAATTTGTGCTTATTCTCCGATTCTAATGTAAATATGAAGAATATACATTTAAATATATATTATGCAAAATATTATAATAGCTAAATCTCAAACAGTGGATCATTTTTATCAGCATATCGCCCAGCTCTTAAATTGCTCAATGTTAAACCATATGTCTGCTTTTATGAAAATCTGCCTTCATTTAATGTGATATAGGTCTAGGACTATATAGTGGTCACTTAATACGTGAGCAGCACATATTACACAGCTCTGTTCTGCCGTAGTAGGCTACTCGGAGAAGCCGTCACCAAGCATTTGTTTGTAACTTAATCTAACTAATTCGTCTTAAGTTAAAAACAAACATTAGCCAATTGATTCTAACTGAAATTGCTGTGGTTAGCACTTAATATTTATGTAGTACATGCAGTCAAACAGCATAGATCGTTCATAAAAACATACATAAAAGAATGTGCATGCTCCTGTATCCAGCTTCTATGCCAATAAGCTCTGCTGTATTATAAACCAATGAAATGTGGGGGTGGGGGAAATGTGTTGCCCCGCCCCATCGTTCAGGCTTATAAACTTTAAATATGGCAGAGGAGAGAAACATAGCTGTAGTAATGCAAAGTTTTAAACTTTCCTATATTTACTCTCAGAAGATCCTTTTTTTTTTTTT